GATTAAATTTTGTTTTTTTGTGGATGGGGGGGGGGGGGGGGGGGGGGGGGGGGTTGCTCCCAAATCCATCTTAGCCCTATTTGTTTCCCATTTTTTAGTAAGAATGCATTTTGAAATATTTAATTGATAAAGAATGTGTGGTTAAGAAATAAGAAAAAAATTTAGTTATGCGTGTAATATTATTTTATTGAAAAATATGTGATTGAAAAGAAGAGAGAGGAAAATGTATTTTGAGAAAAATGGCTATCAAATAGGGGCTTAAAATTGGAGAAACTTTTTGGAGGTGTTGCTTGGGAGAGTGTTGGGTTCTGCTAAAACATAAAATGCTTATTGCATGATTTTATTTTTTTATCGTAAATTGGCCGTGCTTTTTCTGCATGATCTGTGCTATTTTACACTTGCTGGTTATTAAAATATTAATTGGATTTTTTTATTATTATTTTTTTCAAATGAGCAAAATGGTAGCTGAACTGATGTGAGAGCAACTCCTAAAATGGATGTGAGCAAATTTATGGCAGTTGATCATAACGTTGAAAAACTATGGAGGATTAATATTATTTGCTATACCACCACTCTAGGTAGCAACCTGGTTGTTTTAAGAAGGCTTAGCAACTGTGGTGGGTAATGCTGGCTAGACACAGAAACTGTGGCAATTGAGTGAATAGTAAGTCAGCTAATGTATATAATCCGTGGAGGAAGGGGAAAAAGGTGAAAGGTAATAATGTTTACTTGGCTTATTCTAAATTTCTAATGATGGTTACTACAGTTACTTACAACTGAATGTAGGAGAAACATATTCTGTAAGTAATTTGGCATCGATCTTTGTCTTAATTTCTGGTGTATTTGTTGAACAGAAAAAACAGTCTGAAAATTTATTTTAATGCAGAAAAATGATTGTACCTTTATTCAGTTTTTCTGGGACCTTTATTGGAAGTAAATTCAAAGCTTGCTTTGTTGCAGCTAAAGATTGGTGAAATCTTTTGAATATCCGGAGACTTGGTGTTTGGCTACAAACCTGTAGCAGAATTTACGAACCATTGTATTTATTCGGAATTAGTTATACAGAATGATGCCAAAAGTTCTTTGGATGGGAATGATTTTGGTAATGAGCTGGATGTAATTGTGTGAGTTTTGTCTTATCTGACAAGATTCCTATGAAATAAAGAAATTATTGTACCTTTGATATAGAAGGTGATGCATATAACTATTTGGCACTGAAGAATGGATACAACTTCTTGCCATTTTTTTCCCCTTGATATAGAGAAGAAATCATATAAAGGTGATTTGAATGAAGTCTAAATGTAGTCAGAGAATCTGTAGTCTAGTTTCAATCTAGTTTTTTCACTATAATACAATGCCATTGAAGTTTAAAATGGGCAGTTATAGTGTCCTTGTAAGGCATTTAATCAAGTGAAATTGAGCCATTTTCTTTTCCTACATGTCAGACATACATGGATTTTTTGATGAAGGCATCAGATATAAATATCTTTTAGTTACAAAAATGCTGTATTTCTTTTCAGAAGAGAAGCGCAGAATAAATACAGATGAATCTTCCCTTATATCTCCTTCCTGTTCTGCCTCCCCTTTCATATTGCTTCTTGCTCATGTGCAGTGACATGGGTAACTTGACTTTAAAGTAGAATAAGTGCTTGTTTGGTAGTGCTTATAAGCTATGAGTCGTACGAAATTTTTGGATAATGAGTGGGTATTAAGTTGTGGGTTTTATGAAATGTGTAGATAAAAAGTATGTTTGACCGGCTTAAATTAAAATTTTAGCTTTGCCATACATGCTTCGAGTCCTTGGTTTTCAAAATTGATCTCTCTTTTCTCTCTCCTTCTGTATTGCATGCTCACGCCTCTGTGTGGGATCATACAATTTAAATATTTGTCCGTTCATCAATAACCAATATCTTGAAATTGACATCATTTATATTACAGAAGTCTGAGCAGGACTCTGATTATGTTCCGGTGCCTATTGTTCTGATAGATCAAGATTCTGATCCTGATGCAACTATTGTGCAACTCAGCTTTGGAGATCGCCTTGGTGCTCTCATCGACACGGTAAAGAGAACCGTCTCCAGTTGCTTTTGTGGTTCTTAATAAAATCTTTTATCCTGTTCAATTAAAAGAAAAATGTGAAACTGTTGAGGTAGGGATGTTAGGAGACTGGCATCCCTCTTATTTGGCTTTTTATATTCCTTAACTCCTTATATCTCATGGCTTTCCATATGTTTTTGATTGAGGACACGTCCTGTTCTCTGAATAGTTAATATAATACCCTGTGACAATGTTTGGCTGAATGATGTTCCCATTTGGGATCCATTCTGTTATATAGGATGAAGTTAAATATGGTAAATGTAAATATTGTAAAATACAATTATGTACATAATTAAGGGAGTATAAGTTGTCTGTAATCTTCATTGTAAGCTTCGTCGATCTTATTAACAGTAATTAATCCCGGAATACTTTAGTATATCAGCAAGTTCTACCAGTGGGCAACTTTATGCTCCTTTCCATTTCAATAAAATTTCTCTCTGTTTGCAACCTTTAGTGTGGGGTTGTGGAATGTTGTCCATGGACTGGTGTTTTGTCATTTTCCATTTTACAACGTTAAATGCTGATCTTTTGATTGACCTTTTCTCTTGGTCACTGCCATCAGAAATATACATGTTCTGGTTGATAAATGATGATATTTATGGTCATTGAGGGTGTAAAGTGAACCGTTCTCCTGATCCAACCAAATACATTAATGTTATTCATGCCCAGGGAGGCCCATAATGGCCTATGATGTAAAAAAAACTTGTATTAAATTTTGAAAAAGAGACTGACCTGCCAAATTTTTGGCTGTTTGGCTTTGATTGGAAACTTGGAAAGGCCTACGTGATCCATGGGCCAAAAAACGCTGTCCTGGCACAGGCAGTATACCTTGATGTGCTTATCTCCCAGATTTGAAACTTCAGCCTACCATATAGTAGATTTTCCTGATCCAAGCTATTACACAACACAGATTGGGTTGTGCCCAGCCTTTTACATGCACTGACTCCAAGTTCAATTATCAATTATCAGATCTCACATGCGTCATGCCTGCTATCCTTTGTAATACCTCTCTTTCCCTCTTCCCTTCTCTTTGTCCTCTCTTAGATCTGCATCTCTGTGGGTTGGGGGGGGGGGGGGTTTTGGACGTATATTTTGAAGATCCTATGTGCTAACCGATCTTTTTCCTTTAGCTTTTATCTTTTAGCTATCTTACTTCTGATTCAGTATATGTTATCAAATAATGCGGGCGTGCTGCTGCGGATGAATATATCTTACTTTTTACATATCTTGGCATGCTTGTTTGACTCTGTGCATCTGTCTTAAGCACAAACATTTGGAGGCTTGAATTGCTAGCTGATCTTTTCTTCTAGCTTAGTTTTGATATCTTATCTTCTGATTGAGCACATTATTCAACTATATTGATTTGTTGCTGCAGATGAAGGCACTTAAAGATTTAGGCCTAGATGTCTTGAAGGGAACAGTTACTACCGAGAACTCTGTCACACAAACAAAATTTTTTATTACAGGATCGTAAGTGATGATGTTTTTTACTCATTCACTGCTCATATGATGAAGTTTCGGTATTGCAAATTACAGTTACCTGTCAACTTGCTTAATGAACTAGAAATTTTGTTCAATTGCCTGAGATTCTATTGTTAATGGTTTATCGGTTGGTGGCATGACTACAGTCAATCAACATGATGTCTAGTTACTTTATAACTTGTGTAGAACTTTGTGAGATTTCATTTATGACAAGAGGCTGGCTGCATGAAAGAAAGTACATCTGCATCATCCTTTTGCCATACGAGTTTGTGATGAACAGTTAAATTGTCGTTGATGTGAATGAGCTTCCAACATACTCATCCTTCAACTGGATGAAGCATTATTGTTTGAACTATGAGAAAGAATATGGGGAACTCTTTCTGTTTAATCTCATGGCCATATTTTTCTGCTGTGCACAAACATAATTCCTTGGTTGTCCATCCATTTATGATGTTACACACACTGTTTTCTTTTCTAAGACATAATTAAATTCTGTTTTATTCATCTGTTATTAATTTACTTTAGAAATTTCCTCGATTTTTAAAAGAATAATTTGTTATGTATCTCGGATACAAGTTAACTTTTTGAAGTTTATCATTTGATGTTTTATTCGGCTCTATGTTGAGGAGATATACTTTGGAAACCATTTACCTACTTAGGAGATCCATTATAGACAAAAGTTACCAGGTTTGCATATGGTTTTATTCATTTAGAAAAAGGTATTATCCAATGCAAGAATGAAGAAATTTCTATTAGATATCTCAGCATGGAATGTTCATGCAGCAGTAGTAGAATTAAAAATGATAGTGAGTCGCTATAGAGGATAATGTTGTTCAAAGAAGTGTTGGTTTAAGGTATTTAGGTTCAATTATTGACAAGGACAACTGCAAGAGTATGTAATGCATTAAACTAGAGTGGGTTGGATGAAATACAATGTACTATGGGATTCTACGTAGATTAGAAGGCATGATCAGAATATTTATTAGAGCTGATTTGGTTTATGGTACTGAGTGTTGGGCTGTTAAACGGGAAACTAGTGTGATCATAATGATAGCGGACTTCAAATATTACTGAGAACAAGGTATTTTTGTGGTTATGGTTATATTAAATGCAGTGATGAATTTTTCATCAGGTCAAATGGGCGCAAAGTCAAAGATCCTGATCTGCTGGAGGGAATCCGTTTGACCATTATCAACAACCTTCTCAAGTATCATCCAGTATGTCTACCTAACTGATTGTATACCTGTGTATATTTCAGGTCCTATTTTACCTGTTTCTTTTCTCTTTTTTTTTTTTTTCCTGATTTGTAGAATTAGCCAAGTGATTTTCACTGCTTGCAGTCTTGAGGCTTATATTTTTTAATTTTTCTGGACCTTACATAATATGTTTTGTGTTTATTAGGAGTCCAGCGAGCGACTTGCTATGGGTGAAGCTTTTGGAATAAAAGCACCGGAAAAAAAGGTGAACCTAAAATTCTATGCTTGTTTTTTCTTCAATTTCTCATTATGAATTGATTGTTTTTTGGGATTTGTCTGGAACAATGGATTGGTAAATATTTTTCCTTTGTTTCGAGTTTTCTCTTTCCAGTATCTGTATCTTGGATTTTTTGCATCATGGAATATGACATTATATGCATGATTTTACATGTTCTTAATTGGAAGAATGTGATGGATTTTTTATTTTTTGAATTTAAACTTTCTTTCTTCATATTATAATAGGAATTCTTGTTGTCTTTGACATAATCATCTTTATATCGTGGTTAATAAAATTGTGTTTCTTTTACTAAAATTTGTGTTTCTTTAGAATCAATTTCAGTCATATGTATTTCTCTGGCTGACAAGGACTTTGAATTAAGTTTGTTCGTACCAATTATTATGTAAATAATAGTGAGATATCTTCGTCAGCATCCATGTTCTGCATAACATTTTAAAATGAAATGCGAAACTTAGTAAAGATGATGACAAAACTCTCAACTAAATTTGCATCCATGTTCTTACTTTTTATTTGTTTAATTCTAAAATTGCTTCTAAAATGTGAAGCAGTAGTGGCAAGTTTGTTGGGTTCATTAGTTCTGCTGAAATGATTTGGCAATAAAAAACTGGTTCTTTATCTAGATGTGTTTTCTTGGTACAAAAAACTGTATGGCGTAGTTTCTCAACATAATATTGCAAATCATAACTGATTGTTTATCAATTGCAGCTCGATGTTGATATTGCCACTCGTATAAAAGTTAAGGACGATGGGCCTAAGAGGAGGTATGCAACTTCACATAGTTAACATCTCAAATTCTGTCGACATGTAATTTGCACTTTGGACAACTGAAATTCGAATTAGATAAAGAACCAATCACTTTAATATTCTTTTGGTTCATATTCAACAAATGAAGAACAGGTTTTGTGATCATCTTTTAATTTAGTGATTTAAATATTATTCAAGAATTATTTTTGGGAATCTCTGGGAGTAGGTATTTGCTAATATATTATCATGCTTCATATCTATCTCTATTTCAGCTTGCTCTGCATAGAGACAGCAGATCGACCGGGAATGCTAATGGAAATTATCAAAATAATGGCGGATATCAATATCAGTGTTGAGTCAGCAGAGATTGAAACAGAGGTACGTCCTTCTGCACTGGGTACATGCTCGATTGATGTTATTAAAACCATAAACAAAATTTGCTAACTGGGTTTATGTCATTGTCCAGGGTTTGGTAGCCAAGGACAAGTTTCATGTGAGTTATAGAGGGGCGGCATTAAACAGTTCCTTGTCTCAGGTAATTATCTTATCACCAATTGTTTTCAATAACAATCGTTCATGAAATTAGTGCCACTTTTCCTGGCATTAGTACAAGGTAAGACACTTCGGTGACAACCTCTGATTTATCTTCATTTGTACTTGTACGAACAGGTTCTTATAAATTGCCTGCGTTACTACCTTCGTAGGCCGGGAACAGATGATGATAGCTACTAGTATTATTACATGTACACCAACTGTTCATCTATATGAACTTTATTAGCCTGTCTCGAAATAAACCTTGTTCAAGGGCTCAATAACAGTGTTATTGGTGTTAGTAATGTGCATCTGCCTGCCCCACCCACCACAAAAAAAAAAAAAAAAAAAAAGGAAAAAAAAAGAAAGAAAAAAACTGTATATGATGCTTCAAATTTACCACTTTCACTGTCAGCTCTGTCATGTGAAACGAGTAATATTGCATTTTAGTTGACCCATGTCTTCTGGGATGGTAGAAGGGCGGAGAATTCCCAATTTCCATGGGACCTGACACTAGCGGGATAGGATTCCCCGCTTAAACAGGTAACGGGGCTAAGAAACTAGATTCGAGGTTTTCCGATCAAAGATTTTTAAATTTTTGTTTTTGAACTATCAAAAGAGAAACATCCCACCATGCAAAGAAAAGAATTAACCAAATTCAAAAGATAAATAAACCAGTGCAAATGCAATTTATAGTTTTCATTCACTGTCAGTACCATTCCTGTAGTGAACAAAACAGCGACTGACAAAAAGTGCTGATCATCATCTATTGTCCACTAATTACAACACATAGTTACTGCCAGTGTATCATATGAAAAATTAAACAGAAGTTAGTAGGCGCATATATTTCACAGGTTAAAAAAGCATCGAATCTGAAAAAAATAAAAAAAAATAAATAAATAGGTTGCTTGCCCGCTTCGTACCCACATTAGGGGAAATGGAGGTAGGTATGGGATGGGAAAATCCCTCGCTAGGTGGGATGGAAAATTAAGACTTACTTTTAGAAAAAAGTCTTTATCAGTAAAAGAATTATTTTTGAAAATTATGTTTGACAGAAAAAGTAACTATCTAAACGAACACAAGAGCCTGTCAGTTCCTAAACCAGAAATTTGGTCCCCCAAGAACACTTCCTAAAGTAACAATCCAGCATGTACATAGCCATGATTTCTGTTTGTGTGTGTGGTCGCTGATAATTGTATTCTACACTTTGCTCTTACAAGTGCAAAGAGGTCATAATGTGCTGCACATGGAGAAAAAGTGTGTGATTTAATTTCTAATCGATCCATAAAGTTCCATTAGAGATCGAGTATTGAAGAATGTTTCTTTCTATTTGAGAGTGACCTCAAACTTTTTAGTCAAATTACAAGAGTTGGGTGTCCCTGGGGGCATTTTAAGGAGTCCCCGGTAAAATGTTTTTTTTTTTTTCTTTTTCTTTTTTCCCCCTACAAACACGAAAAGAACAAGGAAAAAAAGGCATATATGATGCATCCTACAACCGTTCAAAGAAAGAATCACGGTCCCTTTTTCTAGAAAATCCAAAAATTGGCACCGATAATCGGTTTCGCTGGAAAAATAGTAAGTTGTATATAAATAATGTAATTTACTAATGAATTTATCAAGAAATCGACGGATGTAATTTGAAAACAAATTAGACACAATTAAATAAGAAAAAGCTGTCTTTTTGGGAAGTCATGTAGAACATTGTCCCAAGTCATGTTAGCCTCCATGAAAGTATTACCGGGTCAACTTGGTCCTTCCATGTGCACGACCACATAGAAAAGTCGAAATAGCTTTCTTCTTGTTGTCCAAAACAAATATGAATTATGATGTATATATGGTTTGTATATTCATATATATTTTCTAGTGTATGGTATAGTATATACATATAATCATATTGTCCTCAAATTCACAAGTGTATTGAAATTGTTAACCTCATTTTTGTGGTGGTTATGTGGACAATGGATGACGAGTCCACTTGCGTCCATGCAAGAAAATCCAGCACATTTGACTGGAGATTTGGTCAGAGGAGTTTATTGTATATGGACGTCGAAGATATTTTATAACGCAAGACAAAAATGTTCAGACACAGGCAAATGTTTAGAAGCTATTGCATAATAATAATTAATTACCAACAACTAAACTAAATCAAGATTATCTAAACTCCAACAAATAAGAGTATGAAATTAGAAAGAGAGGACAAATAGTAGCTTTTTGTGTAAAGAGTTGCATTAAGAATAAATATTACAAGAGTTTCTTATTCATAGGGTTTCAACCGAGATGGTTACCGTTGGATTGGAGCCACATGACTTCATCTCCCAAGCCGAAGTCATGTCACTCAGTCTACTACTCATTTAATAAATTGATAACGGGTTAGTCGTCGTTCATTCTAGGCTAACAATTCTATAACATTCAGTATTATAAATGTTATATTAATCATTCCTGAAGATTGCCTACAAATCCTTTAAAGGACAGCAGGGGGTTTCAACCAAAGGAAGATTTGGATGGAGAGATGACTTGGGCTAATTGAGAGGAAATTTCGGCCAACGAGTGTGAGGAGCTTCAGGAAGGCAAGGGAGTGTCAGCTCCTTTTTGACGTGTTGTCCGACTGAATGTTGAACTTATGCTCGACGTGGTCTTCGACTGGAATCTCGGCGTGGCGAGGTGTAACAGAAATCTAACTTTATATTAGTATTTAAGATCTTGCAGCTCAAAATTATTTTAAATTAAAACTGAATTTTAATTAAGGCAATTAAAATATCACATAGAAAAATAATCACTTATTGAGAATAATTCAGCAGCAACGAACAACTTGTTCTGTGTTAACTAATCCTCTTTATCTTTGTTCTCAAGCAAAAGTGCATTTACACATGTGCAACTGCTTCCTCTTTTTCTTAATTACAGGAAAACATTCTTCTGAATTCTTTTAAGGAAAGTAAGAAATATTTTGGTTAAGTTTAGGTCGATAAATGTTATTACAAATTCAGTTGCTGACAGTCATTCTCATGACTTTTAGGTTCAAGAAGATTGTAATACAAGACATTTTCAAAGTGGAAATAGTTGTTATATATCTGTATTTCCATCTCCCTATGCCCAAATCCCTGTAAAATTCATTTTTTAGCACAACAATGTCCCTCAATACGTCAATTTGGTTAGTTATTTTCCTTCATATTTATTCAGTCTTCGCTTCTGATTCAGATTCAGTTCAAGACTTCTGCATACCAAGATCCGAGTTTTTATCCATTTTTGTCTCCTGCAAGAATTCATCCTTGGTAACCGTTGAAGATTTCGTGTTTTCTGGCATAAAAAGCCCTGGAGAATTCAGTAAAGCTGGATTTGCATCCATTCCAGTTAGTGTGAGCGTCTTTCCTGGTTTGAACACATTAGGCATGTCGTTTGTACGCGCTGACTTTGAGCCAGGGAGCATTAACGTTCCACATTATCATCCCCGAGCAACTGAGACTGCTTTCGTGGTGGAAGGAAAGATTTATTCGGGATTTGTTGATTCAAGAAACCGAGTTTTTGCAAAAGTGATCGAGAAAGGGGAGGTAATGGTGTTTCCGAAAGGCCTAGTACACTTTCAGATGAATATTGGAGACTCACGGGCTACGATTCTTGGGAGTTTTAATAGTCAAAATCCAGGTTTGCTGAAAATCCCATCTGCCGTTTTTGGATCAGAAATTGAAGAAGAGGTCTTGATCAAGGCTTTTGGATTGAACAGTAAGGAATTGGCTAAGTTGAAGAAGAAGTTTCTCCCTATTAGCTGAGGTAGAGTAAAGGGTCGCTTAATTCTTATCATATCTTAACCCCAACCGCTTTTTCATAATGGAATACAAGAAGTAGTGAATGGAGAAGAAGAAGGATTGTAGAAGACGAATAGTCCCTCCTAGAATTATTTCTTTGGTTTGTTCTGTTCATGATCTAGGGTTTTTTATTTATTTTATTTATAATTATTATTTTTTAATAGTAGGAAGTTTTGCTTCAAGCATGTTATTCATTTCTCCTTTATTTGGTGTTTCTGATCAAGGGACTGAGAAATTATCGCATCTTCTGTTTTCAGATTGCAAATATGGTTCCTGTCCTTTGCCTAAAGCGAAATCATTTAAACAAAAAGTTAAATCGTCAAGTATAAAAGTTTTAAGTTTTTAAAGAAGGGGTTTTATTTATATCTATATTCAAGTCGCACGACCTTAAAAAGGTCTAACTATAGATGTCTAGCTATAAGACTTAAGTACAATATTTTCACGAGAATCACCTCATCTTGAAAAAGTGTCCAAGGAACGAGAAAATGATCTGTGGTACATTTTATCTTCAACACCAACATACTTTCATTTAGGCTCTGTTTGAGCCCCATTTTTTGGAAGAATAGATTTTATAATAATTTATTTATTTATTATTATTATTTTTTTTTTTTAATGAATGTGTGGTTAAAAAGTATAAATTTTTTTTGAATTTAGTTGAAAATAAATTTGAGAAAATATTAGTTTTTAGATAATGAGAATCAAACAAGAACTTAATTTTTAAGATTCACGTGACATGAAAGCAGGAAGAATAAACTTGAATGCGATTCCAAAGATAAAATTATAAAGAAAAAGGCAATGTGGATGATTATACGACACAAGAGTACTAAATTTTTGAAAAGTTGCCTTAATTTGTGGAGTATTAAGGACCTGCTTCATGTAGATTTTTTTATTATAGATTTTCAGGAATTTGAAATTTTTTTTAAAAATATATAGTTAGCAAGTAGGGAAAAGTTATGAGTCATATACAAAATAATTTTATTGGCAAAATGTGTGATTAAAAATAAATTTGAAAAAAAAAATAATTTAATGAATCTTTACCAAACAAGAGCAAAAATCATTCAACCATCATTGCTTATCTAAGGAAAAGCAAGAGGGAAGCCCTTATTGTTCTACCACGAACTATGTAATAGGGGTGTAAGCGATCTGATTTTATCGATTTTTGATAGATTTTTAAACCAAACCGTTTTAACCGGTTTGAGAAAAATCCAAACCTAAACCAAACAATTTTGAACGTTTGAAAAAAATTCAAACCTAAATCTAACGGTTTGATTTGGTTTTAAACCGCCGATTTTGCCATATTTTTTTTGTCTGCCTACTTTTATGTTATTAATTCATTGAATTCAATATATATTTATATCTTGCTACTAATAAATTTAAATGAAACTAAGCCCTTGTTTGAACCAAATTTTTGGAACAAAAAAAATAAAAATTTGGATTATTATCTCACAAGTTCAGACGTCTTTGTTGACTTGCTGTTTTATGTGTGGGACCTAGCCTCCTCTCCAACGGTCAATTTTTTCATTATGATGATATGAAAAATATGGCTCAAATAAGGGCTAAATATATCTACTATAAATTTAAATACCAACTAAATCAAAGTGAAATAACAATAAACTATAACATAGATTTTTTTTTCATTTTTTTCACCTTTTTTAGGCTAATAACGATACAATAAAGTTACAACACAAGTTTACTAAACTGGATATAAGGCCCAAAAAGCATAATAATGTCCAACAATACCTCGTGATCATCATATTTGAAAAAATGATACTGATTAGATAGAGAGAATAACCAACCACAATAATAAAGCAATTGTTTATAATATCCAAATATAACAATTACACAAGTTTACGTTTGTATGATGTTACAAAATGCATTTAATTTCAAATTCTTACCCTAGTTTGCTAAAAAAAATTATTGATCCGAAACTTTATTCGTATAAAATATTATCACTGAAGGTCTAGGATCCCTTTGTCTCCCATTTGTTATAATAGACTTCAATTTAACTTTCACTACTAAAAAACAACTTTTCACCTACGGAAAATTATCAACAGATTACATCCGTTGGTAATTAGAAACGGATTATTCATTGGTAACAATGATATCTTTTTACCAACGGATATTCCGTGCCTAATATAACCGTTTAACATTTGGATCTTTCACTTACGGATATTTCGTAGGTGACGTACTAAATATTACCAACGGAAACAATCCGTTGGTAATTAGAAACGGATTATTCATTGGTAAAAGTCATTCACTTTCAACTACGATAATCAATGATAAATTTTTTATTGGTAATGATAATATCTCTTTACCAACGGATATTCTGTGCTCAATATAATCGTTTAACATTTGAATCTTTCACCTACGGATATTCCGTTGATAATTAAAAATGGATTATCCGTTGGTAAAAGTAATCCAATTATCCCACATTGGAAGTTTACGAAAAAGTCTTTGGAATCGTCCTCTATAAATTATGGTCCAACAAGTAGTTAAACAATATTTTGACTTTTCAATTCAATTGTTTAAAAGTTTTAAAAAAGTTATAATTATTAAATAAATAATAATAACAATAATAAAAAAATAAGTAAATAATTTTTTAATCATGCCTCACACATATACGACTATTTACAACATTGATTTTTACCAATTGTAATGGTAGATACCAACGGAAAGTTGGTTGGTATTGATTAAATTTTTACCAACGAAAATCTTGTTGGTAAAAAATTCACACATTACCAATAGAATTTTCGTTGGTAAAATGTTTATTCTTTACCTACGATACAATCCGTTGGTAAATATCAGCGACCCTCAAGTTAAAAACGAATTTGTGGTTGCAAATATTCTGTTAGTAAAGAGTAATAACAATGGATATCAAGGCTTCAGGAATGGAAAATTCGTACCTGAAACCATATTTTTTAGTAGTGTTTAAAGAAGTGTTAAAAATCTGAAAAAGAAGTGTGTGGTGCCCGCGGCTCAAGAATGTGTTGGGTGTCAACTGAAGTTCATCTAAATTCTGATGAGGAACTTTTAATAGATTATGTTAATCTTGATATTTTTATATATATATTAGGATTATTGGATAATAAAAATAATATATCTATATTAGAAATTTGAAAATTGACAAAATACCCACAAATAACAGAACTATTGAATTTTACATATTTGGATGAATTTTCAAAAAAAAATCATTTTTTCATTTTTATATATTTTCGTCGGTCCGGCTTGATTTTAAACTGTAATTAAAATTCTCAAGCTTATATTAAACCATTTTGACTGGTTTGATTTGGATCAAAACCATTTCGTTGATCGGGTCCATGTGGCACCAAACCGATGGTTTATAAAATGCGATTTTGGTTCGATTTTTCGGTCTGACAGTTTTTGCTTACAGTCCTACTTCGTAATATCTACGAAAATTAACAAAATATTCTACGTAAATGACATTATTACATTTCACATAGAATATGTTCGAATTCTTTTTAATATCATGACTAAAGGATTCAACATGGAAGAGAATTACAAAATCACTGAAGAAAAATAATAAAATTGCCAAATCAAACTCAAACCATTAGTTTGGTATCAGGTGGACCAGCCAATATCATGGCTTTGAACCAAATCAACAATTCATTCAACACATGAAATAGGTATACCTAAATTGTAATTTCTAGAAACATGGTATGCAATGCGTAGTAACACCAGATAAGACATTATGAGTTGCCTAATAGCTTCATCGAATGTGATGCTTTCAATGTACATCTCAACAACTTCCACATGACACAGAGAAGGTATAATAATAAAACAAAAAAGTTCAATTGCCCTCGGAGTGGACTAAATTATATTGTCAGTTGATCCATGTAAAATGAGAGGTGACGTCCAAGACGCCAAATGGCACCCCCTCTAGGTGGGGGGCCAATCGGAATAGGCCCCCAACCTATAGAGGGGTGCCATCCGTCCAGGGCCCATGTGGCCCTAGACAATTAGTCTATTCCATGTAAAATTATCTTCCAACATACAAAAGTACAGCCTTAGAAGGTCAAAAAGAAGGTAGCACAATCATATTAGAATGCATGGCCAAAAAAAGAAAAGCATGATAGATGTCCAAGACACCATCATTTTACTCAAGGTGGAGATGTAAAGCCTTAGGAATAATCAATTTTCTTGAGGGGTATTTTTCTTGATTCGATGAATGGTTAAAATTCTCGATGAAATACTAAGGAAAAATTACCCACTTGGAGATGATTTGAATAAATTTGTTATATCGTGAATTTTGTACGAGAGAAATTCAGAGTAACTGTGATTCGTTTTAGAATAGAAAATATGGTTTGAAAAAAGAGAGATTCTTGTTTCCAACTTTACTTCACCCTTAATCTTGACTTTTGGTGAAGAGGATTGGATAGTACTAGATAATATCTAATACGACGTATCAAACATGCTCCGAAAAGATATGAAAAATAAAGGCGGGATAGCCAACAACAATATTTTGGACATATGTGGGAACTCCTAACAAAGTCTCAAATCTTGCAAGCCATTTTCACATCAAAATACAGTGATCCGCCACCATAGATATATTTTTGGAGAAATCATCTGGACAATATTTTCACCACAAAGTCACTTGAATAAACATATTATTATCACAAGCAACATTTTCACAACCTTAGAACACACAGTACACACATTTAGTAGCTTCTGCTACATACTACTTCATATATTCTTAAAGGATTTCTCTAGTAACCATCCTAATATTCGTTATACAGTTGCAAGACATGTTTGGTACATAGTAATGTACACTATTATACAAGATAGCATATAACTTGTTACTTGTTCTTGTTTAATAATGTCTAGTATTAACCTCTCCAGTCTAGTACAACAAACACGTCGTCGGTGTTTCATTCTCAAAGCATAGCATTTAACATTTCATTCCAGGTATCAGGTACACCAGGGAGACACCAATGGCTACAATCAGAACTATAACCTCTCATTTCCCGCTTAGCCTTTTCGCCTAGAGCCCTAGCATATATAGAAGGATGCCCATCTTGTCTAAGAGCTGACATTGTCGTAATGTCCTGCAAATATACCGGAAATCTCGTTCTTTTCAGTACTTCTTGCAAAACCAATAGTTGTTCAGGGACATGGGGGTGGCTTAAATAGCCTATAGGTTCTCTCTGATTGTAGCATTTGAAGCCATTTTCTCTACAAAAGACAGAAAAAGATATCAATGCATGGAAAAGAGAACGTTGATATTTTCATTCTTCTGATTGAATTTTGAGTAAAAGATGCAATATTACCTGTTATGCTTAGGCGACATGCTTCGGAAAAAGACTCTGGTTGTCCGAGGATCAATATTTAAATCTATCCAATTAGCCCACGTCATGAGTCCTTTTTCATAAGCAACCATAGGATTCATATTTTTATAAGCATTGTTCCCTTCCATAAGAAAGTCCCACCTGCAGTTTAGTACAAATATACGATATTATTTTTATGGTTATTAGAACCACACTACAATTAACGACATAACAAAAAACTAAATCTTATTCTCAATAAATTTGGAGTCCATTACAACGTGACACTTAGCAGTTATAATAAATCATGCCAGTTTTAACTTACGCTTCTTTCAATCTTGTTGTACTCTGATCAAAACACTTATAATCGGATAAAATACAAAGAGGATCTAGAGAATTTTATCTTAAAACTAATCTTACGAGCTCCATTTTTCAGAATGAGTCCACCAATGAGCTGAATCAAATACAAGAACATCAACTTGTCTCCAATATCTTGCATTCTCCTCTATCAAATCAAGATGCAATATTCTCTTATTTCCAGGCCCTTTCTTCAATTCAACTAGGAAAGGAGCCCAACAAAACTCAATGGATGTCTCATAATCCTGCAATGATTAAGCCACCACATAATTTGAAGCTAATAAGTTCTTACGTTGCTAATTAACAGGTAATTTCATGTTATGAGAAAAAGTCGTGAAAAGATGTCGACTCACCAATGCTTGAAAGGCCATGGTAGGACCGATATAAGTTACTGTCTTTCGAGCAGTTGGAATAACTGACTGAACTAAACATACAAGGGACTCCCATTGATTCCTCATTATCGAATCACCTACAAGCATTATTCTTTTCCTCCTTATCCTTCCAAGAAAATCCAATGCATCAAACCTGCGTTATCAAATTCATTTCATCCAAATTTTCGTCTTCGATTTGTCACAAAGCAACATTCTATTTCATCAATTTAATAATATAAACCTTCTTTCAAAAAGATATTTGATATGCTTGATTGAATAGTACCAGACATAATTAAAGAAGAAATAAAGTAAAAATTTGGTTTTCTTTTCCTAACTAACATACTGCATACCAAATATGCCCTTATAACATGTTTGGTAAAGTGGATTGTGATATGTAGTCCGCGGGCCTAACTCATTCATTGCGAAGTGTCTTCACCTTATAGATTGCATATCTCAATCCTAATATGTGTAAACACCCTGATAAAAGTACCCACAAAACATGAATTTAATCTTTGTAATGTCACTCATAAAAGTACCTTGGAATTTCACAACCATGAGGCTTCCATTTCCATTTCTCGTAATCAGAATCTGGGCGTCCATTTTTCCGACAGGTGACAGCAGTACTAAGATATGGGCAAGTAGCATCATAGAGTGGGTAAGATTGATCATAAACCCATTTTCCAGTGCCAAAATCGCAGCTTCTGAGCGATGAATGCCTATTTTGAACCATGTTGATTTCATCATCTTTATCATCCAGCCATTGTAGCTCTTCTTGTTCATATCTCGAGCATACAGCAAAAGAGAAAAATAGGAGAAAACTAAACCAGAAGAAGAGAAAATTGGTGTGAAAAATAGCCATAGTTTTGCAGCCAAAGGAGATGGTAGTACGTAGCTAGACTAGTCTTCAACACTTTGTATATCTGTTGAAAACACTTTCGGGTTGACAAGAATTGCGCAATTTCGGCTTGACTCGCGGTAAATGCCTATTCATGCAATATTTTACTGGTGACATTTAATCACTCGTTAGCAAGTCATTTTAAGAGTCCTTACTATTCTTTTTCCTCATTTAAAGTCTTACACGTGCACAATTTTTAATAAAGGATGGCCGAGAGGCGAGAGACTTCAACTCAAGAGCTATGCCTGATACCATATTGAATCATTGGATCTAAAATTTTTAAAATTTTAAAATGAGACAAAATGTATGTCATTTAAATGTTATATTCAACGTATAGAAGGAGAATGATACTTCTAGTTAAAAATATTGATTTTGTGAAGTTATCCTAGGCTCTCCTATTCTTAGTGTCAGCTATGATACGAGTTGTGGATGCAAAACTAAATTAAAATATAGGCATGTGGTGTTGTAATTACTCGAGCAACGTCTCCTATTAGTAATTTATGAGTAGATGAGAAACAATTTTATACACAAGTGTAACGTGTGGTCAAATTACTTTGTGAATACATCATGTTTAGTATAAATATATTCCATCGTTGATGGCATATTTGGGATGTATATTTGTGCTTTTTCCTCTTTTTATGTTGGCTAACGTGGGGTTGTTGGAACAAACACTAGTCCTAATTAAATTTCCCCGTGATTTTAGGAACGATAATTAGGATACTTCTTCCATGTGGGTCCTTGTCCCTTCCTTTCAGCCAATTTCAGGTTTATAAGATGGATAAATATGCAAAGGTCAAATAATTATAGAAGATAGAAGTCAATGCAATGAAATTTGGTAGAGAAAATGGCATTGTCGGTCATCAACTTAATCTGAGTAACAAGTTAGTTTTCAACTTTTATTGTAAGTATGCAGTCAACTTCAATGATTGAACGCATCAAAAATTTCGTTAAATCTTCATATAACTTTCAAGAAACTTTTCGAGCTTTTACAAATCGACCCAAATTGAAAAATAAAAAGCTAGTTTTATAAAATTTGAAATGTAAAACTACATTAAGTTTTAACGTAAAATTATATATATATATATATATATATATAAAACAAAGCCTTAATAAACCAAACGACATATAAAAATCAGGCTGTGTAATTTCCACTATGATCAACCGGTGTTTATCTAGAAGGCCCGGTTCTTGTCACTAAACCAGCGTTCACTGTCCACATCTACGGTTGCAACTGAACCAGACGGTCCATAAACACTTGGATTTGAGATTTTTCCAAATCCCCCAAGTCCCAGAAGTGTATCAGCAACACGGAAGAAAAATTTTCACGAATCATGATTGAAAACAGACTAATTTCACTTCTGAGGAAAACCAAATCCTTCACCAAAAGTTTGCCTCTGAGGGAATGTAAAACATTTTCTACTGTAGGTGGAGATTGTTAAAGAAATGGGCTGCCTCAATATTTCTTTATTGGGCCTTATTACTTAAAATTGTCGGAGGTCTAGTTCTTTAACAATGCCGCGTTTTGGAAGAACGCTTTTCTCGCGCCTCTTATGGAAGAGTGTGTGTTGTACACGTGGCACACTCTCAACCATTAAATGAAGTCGGTTCAGTAATCGTGTTTTCAAATACTTCACTTGACCCTTGGTCTTTTGGCTTTTTGGTTTTTTACATTAGTTTTCTAGAATACTCTTTTCTCTCTCTCTCTGTATGTGAGGGTTTTCTTCGTGAGCTTTTCTATCTGAAAAATGAAATAAATCTTTGTGATGTAATCTTTTCTTCTGCTAGAAAGGGAAGAATTAGTGATATGTGTGGTCGTTTGAGAGAAATTTTGTAATAGAAAAGAGGCTAGATAAATAGAAGAAATCTCTGATTTCTTCGAACATTTTGTACGATTTCTTTGTGAAACTTAGTTAATCTTGAGCATACTCTTGATTGAGGCTCAACGGGTAATTAGGTTCTTTTGGACTGAACATCCGGGCTCCTTTTGGAGCAAAAATATATCCGGTGTTCTATTTTTACTGTTTTTCAATTTTCTGCATTTTTGATTTGTAAATTCTTAAGAAAATACGAGTTCATTATATCTCTGGGATCAACGAGTGGTATCAGAGCCACTTTTTTAACTTTCTGTTTCATTTGAAAAGTTTTCTTTGATTTGCAAGATCTAAAGGTTTTCTGTATATTTTTCTTTAATTTTTTTTTAAAGTAAACTTGTAGATCTTGCAAGATCCGGCAGTGAATTGTTACTCCTTGAAATTTCTGTTTCAATATCCCCTATTTTGGTACTGACTCGTTTGATCTGCTGTTTTTACATATCTGCTCTATTAAACCGGTTCAACTCGTACTGAGTTTGGCGAGTTGAGTTGACTCAACCTTAGTACACACCGAGTTTCTGATACATTGCTGAGTTCATACTGAGTCACAATAACTCGGAGGGTTCCTATGCGTGGTTTGATTTTTTGATTCAATTCTTGGTACCTTCTAGTTGATGTTTTATTCTGAAATCAACATTTCAAAATCTGGTATTTTCTTTATAACCTCACTCACGTTTTGTTACTGTAACCCTAAATAAATTTGAACCAGTCATTAAGGTAAGTAATCTACCATTACTTTCCTTTGTCCAGATCCCTTAAGAGGATCCAGAAATATGAGGGAGTAGTGGAATTAAGGATTATCACCCCTTAGGCTGTTAAATAGTGCATATTATATCTGTCATCAGTTACTAGTCTCTGCATAAATCTTGTATACTAAACTCTCATACATATATATATTTGATTGCATTCCTGATAATCGAATTTTTCTTGTTAAAATCTTGAAATTTGAGACTACAATACTCTGTGTGCTACACTGTAATAATTTTGAAAATATTTTGTTAATATGTCAACTTTTCAAAAATTTGATGTTGAAACTTGGAATGGTACTGAAGACTTTAGTCTCTGGCGCCAAAAAATGAGAGCTCTGTTGGTTCAACAGAGATGTGCAGGTGCCCTTGGTGGCACCTAGGCTGCTGAAATTAGTGCCCATAGGAGACAATAATTAACTGAGATTGCTTGGAGCACCATTTTTCTGCACTTATCTGATAATGTAATTAGAAAGGTAGGTGAAACTACTACTGTTGAGGCATTATGGACAAAATTGGAAAGTCTATACTTAACCAAAACTATGCCTAATAAGTGCTACCTCCAAAGACAGTTTTATAACTTTAGGTTTGACCCCTCTAGCAATCTAGAAGATAATATTGACAAATATACAAAATTAACTCAAGATCTAGCCAATTGTAATGAAGAGCTTTCTGATCAATAAGAAGTTGTTGGTCTATTAAATTCTCTAAGTGAGAAATATAGGGATGTTAGGAATGCCTTAGGGTACGGGAGAAAGGATCTTACTGTTGACATCATAATCACTGCTCTAAGAAATAAAGACCTAGAGTAACAAATTTATTCAAATCATTCCAAGGGAGGTGAGGGTCTGCATATTAAAGAAAAACCTCTTCGTGGTAAAAAGTCAAATCAGTGCAATTTTATCTCCTCTAAGAAAGGAAAATATGTGAATCAGAAATTTAAGGACAAAAATAAGAATCAACTGAAGAATAAGAATCAAGCCAGGAAGTGCTATTACTGTGGAAAGACATGACATTTAATAAAAGATTTCTTTAAGAAAATTTCTAATTTAAAGGGAAATAATAATACTGATGGCTCTATAGCAATTGCTTGCAACCATGACCCTGATATTCAGGGGTTTGTCCTTGTCACTACAACCAGAAGGGATCCAAAAGAATGGGTCCTTGATTTTAGTTGTACCTTCCACATGTACCCTATTTAAGATTGGTTTTGTGAATTTGTTCAACTTGATGGGGGAAAGATCCAAATGGGGAATGACATGAGTTGTCAAATAAAGGGTATTGGAAAATTGAAATTAATGCTCAGCAATAACTGTATTCTTGAGTTAACCAAAACAAATATGTCCTTGAACTCAAAAGAAACTTAATCTCCTCAGGAGAACTAGATAACAATTATAACATTGTGATATATAAGGGTATTCTTAGCCTGAACCTTAATAACAAAAATATAATCTCTTCTTCTAAGATAAATGAGATTTATACCATTTGTGCTGAACCCTTAGTAGGTCACAGTGCTACAGCCTTAAACTCTATTTTAACGAAATCCTTAATCTAGCATAGAAGGCTTGGCCACATTTCTGAAAAAGGGTTAATTTCTTTTAATAAACTTGGATGTTTTGGAAATGATAACATCAATAAGTTGGATTTTTGTGAAGACTGCATAATTAGAAAACAAACTGAAATACGTTTTAAAACTGGTCTTCAAAAATCCACCTCCATCTTAGACTATTTACATGCTGACCTTTGGGGACCAACTACTGTAAATACTCTAAGTGGATTTAGGTTTTATCTACCAATAGTAGATGATTTTTCAAGAAAGATATGGACATTTCTTTTAAAATAAAAGTCTGACACCTTTCAAAATTTCAAACAGTGAAAATTAATGATTGAAAATCAGACAAATAAGAAAATCAAAGCACTAAGAACAGGTAATGGATTTGAGTTTTGTAATTCTGAATTTAATTCTTTTTGTAAAGAATTTGGAATTTTGAGACACAGAACTGTGACTTACACTTCTCAGCAAAATAATGTGGCTAAGAAGATGAATATGACTCTATTGGAACGAGTCAGGTATATGCTTCACAGTTCTGGTCTTCCAAAACTGTTTTGGGGTGAAACTCTAAAAATTGCAACTTATTTGATAAATAGAAGTCCATCTAGTGCTATTGATTTCAATATTCCTGAAAAATTGTGGTCAGGAAGAATGCCAGACTATAGCAAACTTAAAGTTTTTGGTTGTGCAGCATACTCTCATTAGAATGAAGGAAAATTAGAGCTTAGATCATTAAACTGTGTTTTTCTAGGATATTGGGAGGAAACTAAAGGTTATAAGTTGTGGGTTAAATAACAAAATGGCTACAAGGTTATAGTTAGCAGAAATATTATCTTCAATGAAGACATATTTCCCTGTAATAGTTCTACAACCTCAAAATCTAAAGAACATGTATTAATGAGGGAAACTGTTGTGGAAAATCAATATGAAACTATTGAAGATCAAAATGATTTGATTGAGGTGGAGTCCACTCAATCAAATAATGACTCAAATCAAAATGATTCTGGATCTGAGTCTGAATCTATAAATCCACCACTTGCTGATTATCAACTCACAAGAGACAGAGAAAGAAGGAACATAATACCT